TGTTTTGAGGTTAATAGCAGCGTTTGCTTTGTCTGTCGTGTGGGTATTGCTGGGCTTTACGGGCCCAGCTGGAGCGGTAAATGTCCCTGGAACCTTGGGCTGGCTGTCGGGAAGGGGACGGGCTTTGTCGGAGTGGCCGTCTGAGCTCAGTGCTGCTCTGTGGAGAGAGGGCCATCGGGCTACGGTCTGTGGGTGGAAGTAGGTCATGCTTGGGTTAACTTCCCTAGTGAAGTCATTTCTCTTGTACAAAGCACCAGTTGTAGCTGGTGTTTGGCAGGAGAGGGCTATAGGGAACCATCTTCCTGTGCTCCGGGGCAGATGCACAGGATCCCCGGCTGTCTGACCAAGCACTGCCGAGTGCCACACCTGCCACCTTCCGTAGCTGGCTGCAGGCTTTGGAGGCAGAGTACTTACCTGGGCTAGTCCCGGTTAGCAGACCAGTAACATGTAAGAACCCAAGGTAGTACTTGAAAGGTCTGGAGAGTCAGAGTTTTGTGATGGTACCCAGGTCTTTAATAATTGGTTAGGTCTTCTGTTTCCGTAAAGTCATGTAAATGAGCAAGGGGAAGTTCTCAGCGCGTCTGGTTATCAAGCAAAGGGGCTCCCATGTGTTCTGCTGCAGTGGTGCCTGGGGACATCAGCTGCTGTGAAGCACAGCGTGGGTAGCTCCTGCTGTGAGGTGCAGCTGGAGACCCCACTATGCAGTTGTGGGTGGTGGCCTGTCCGCCAGCAAGCAGCAAAGCAGGCAACATTGGGGGTTTTTAAGAAGTCCAGTTGTATGCCAGAATTACTCCCTGCATTTTACTGTTGGTAATCCATTTATGTTGCTTGGGAAAAGGTTGCAGTAGCAGGGAGGTTCATAAAATCCTGTAAGAGAATGTTGAGAAATCCATCCTCACTCGGACTTCTCTCTTTTTTTTTTGTTCAGAAATGGCACCTCGTAAGGGCAAGGAGAAGAAGGAAGAACAGGTCATCAGCTTGGGACCTCAGGTTGCTGAAGGAGAAAACGTCTTTGGTGTCTGCCACATCTTTGCTTCCTTCAATGACACTTTCGTCCACGTGACTGATCTCTCTGGCAAGTACGTACTGAACACCGGCCACCTTGCTGCGCTACCTGGCTGCTTTGGTTTTGGAACCAGAAATTAGATTTGGCCAGAGGTTCTACCAAAGTCCTTGAGCTTCTGCTGAGCTGTAAGATCAGATGGTGTGCGTACATGAACGTAGACCAGGTGGCTTGGTGTGTTCCTGTGTGATGAATGTTGCATTCAAGCTACTGGATTGGCAGCTTATTGATCCAGTAAAAAGAAAACATTAAGACATAAAAAAAATAGGTTCTGTCTGTAGCCAGAAGCTGGTTTGTGGGGAGGAAAGAGGAAGGGCTTTTTTCTTAATGTCCCCTTTCCCTTTTGCAGGGAAACCATCTGCCGTGTGACTGGTGGCATGAAGGTGAAGGCCGACCGAGACGAGTCTTCTCCCTACGCAGCTATGCTGGCAGCCCAGGATGTTGCCCAGAGGTGCAAGGAACTGGGCATCACTGCCCTGCACATCAAGCTGCGTGCTACTGGCGGCAATAGGTACGTTGGAGGGGCTGGGCCCAGCCTTCCCAGAGGATGTGTCCAGTCTTTGAACCGTGTCAGATCGCGCCACATCCCTTCTTTGTCCTGTGTCAGTTGGGAAAATGGATGGACCCTGTGAACTTGTCTTTAAACTTGGCCCGAAGGGTGTCTGTCACTTTGTGTGGTGACTGGCTGATGTCATCTCTTGCTGAGCATCTGGAACTCATGCTGAATGGGTGTCTTCACTTGCCTGGAGCTGGGGGTGCTCTTATTTATCTGGTAGTGAATAGGGAGGTGCTGTCAACTTGGAGATGTGTTATTGTGGAGTGACAGGGAAGTGCGTGTCTGGTGGCTGATGGTGTGTGAATGGTTTGGGTCTGGGGACAGGAGGAGGTGAGTTCTGGTACCTGGGTGTTTTGGGGTGGGGAAACTGTGATTCTAATGCTGTCACTTGTTTGTGAACTGTGTCCAACTTCTGAGTCACTTAAGGGATTATGGGTTCTGGTTCTCTCCTCCAGGACCAAGACTCCTGGACCTGGTGCCCAGTCAGCCCTGAGAGCTCTGGCCCGGTCTGGAATGAAGATCGGCCGCATTGGTGAGTGGTGGAGGAGGTGATAGCTGGGCATGTATGTCGTTGGTATATCAGTGCAGAGCCTTGCTGCTTAAAAAAAGACCAAACCCAACACTATAGTTTTGAGGGATTATGTAGTGAAAGGAGCTTTGCAGGTATATATGCTGCTTGGTTTGATGTTGGGAGGTTCTGCTTGGCCTCTGTCAGGTGGCACTGTAGGTATGATTTAGTTTAGACAGATTCTTAAACTGATGATTCACCAGGAGGTGGCGTGAGCAGACCTCAGAAACCAAGTTTCTGTCTGCATGATAAACCCCGGCTGCGCAGCAGGATGCTGATGCTCCTCTGACGTAACAGCGTTTGTGCCAGAGCCGTTCCATCACCTAGAAGCATTGCACTGGTCTCGGTGTAAGACGGTGACTCAGTAATAACTGAATTCTCCAGCTGTTTACGGGAGAGTCCCAAACGTTGTTGGGGAATCACAAGAAGCAGTGGTGTTGGTTGCTTTGAAAGTTGCTCCGAGCACCCTCTGTTTCTTTGGAGAGGCTGTGGCTGCCTGGCCCAAGTGGGGTTGGGCGACGGGGATTTTCGCTTCCTAAGCGTGAAAAGCCCTTGGCGAATTCACAAATACCTTCGCTCCCGTGGAGCGTTCGTTCCACCTGTGCGTGGATCCTATGGGGGGGACTGCTGGGGTTGGGGTGGCTGTGCCCACTTGGTGTCTTGGGGTACCTCTGGAAAGTAACAGTGTGTTTTGTGGTTCTCCCCACAGAGGATGTCACTCCCATCCCATCTGACAGCACTCGCAGAAAGGGTGGTCGCCGTGGACGTCGTCTGTAAACAATGCTGCACCTTTGGTTATTAAAGCTCTCTTTTAAACCTCGGCTCAGCTGCCTGTTTTCTTACTGAGGCACGCTCAGAAGTTGAGCAGCTTCGGTTTAATTACATCCACGACTGCCTTATCCTCTGAAGCTGGTCTGCTGGTTTGGGTGGGTATTAGTACTGCTGCGGCTGAGGCGCCTTTGAATGCGCACTGGGAAAGCTTCTAAAAGCACTGGAATTACAGCTCCCTCAGCTGCTCTGTTTAGATATTTACACTTCCAGAGGTGTTTAAGAAAAATGACTCCTCATTTTAGTCACGCCCTGCTTCCTGCACTGATGTTTGCCATTCTGTAGACTGCACTGCCATCACCTGGAATAAATGCTCATTTCCACAGCTGCCAACATTCTCTTCCTAGCTCTCCAGGCTTTGAAATCCCTCCTGTTTCTGTCACTTCCTCATCTGTAGCAGGATTTTAGACCAAGAGAAGATTCGTGGGTATGCAATACTTGAGTAGTACAGTTTACAAGATCAGTATGCTCCTGGTGTCAAAGTTCTTTATGCTTGCGGTTAAAATAGCTGTGGCTTCTAGAGCTTGAGAGAGAGATTAAATTGTTGAAACTCCTCCCGTGACACGGTGACTGTAGCCCTTGCACAGTGCAGTGCCTGTTCTGACACTGGGTCAGTGTGCTGTCCTGCAGTGTCTACAGCTCATCGTGCTTTTCCTCCTCCATGAGCTCACTTGGAGCTGGTAAAATGTCTGAGAATATTTGTGGTCAGGTTTAAGTGATGGTTATTTGTCAGAACTGGTTGAAAAACCTTAGGATTCTTAGCACAGTTACATGGCAATTATGAATAGTCATAGATGATATGTGACCTGTGAAATGAAGCTGGGAGGTGGTGTTCTGGTGTCCAGGGCTCCTGGATGAGGTCTGCCTCCAGCTCCTGAGGCTCGAGAACCTCGCTGCTTTCCCGTGGGCTTTTTCCCAGCCCTCTGTGGGGGATTCCTTCACCTGCCTGCTCCCGAGCCTCCCCCCCTCACGGGAGAGGGTGCTTTGGGTGGTGGTGTTGGTGGAGGTGCTCCACTCTCAAAGCGGTCTCTGTCCTGGTGAAGTTACTCTGCCTGGGTTGGATCCAGGGCCTCTTGCTCCCATTGGACTTGATCTTCAGTTCTCGAGCGCTCTTGCGTGGTGAAAGTGGATGAGTCTTGCAGCCGAGGAAGCCAGACTGGCTGATCTGAAGTCATGATGCGTCCTGGTCTTCACAGTGAAAACTACGTGGATGGTTGTGGTTTCAAAGTGAGTCATGATCTCTTGGAGGGGTCCCTGCTGTGGAAAAGAAAGCTGGGCTTGTGAGCGAGCTAACTGCTGCTGGGTTTGCTGCAAACTGTTTCTTAATGCGTGACTTCCCCTTTCTGTGGACAAAAATCTCTGCCTGGACAGATGTTCCTAAGCCAGCGTTTCCTTTGGCACAGCCATGGTGTTTTATTTGTAATTTTATCTGTGGCCATGGAAAACTTTAGAATAAACTTCCCTCACTGTCCTAAAAGTGCACTATTTGCAGTTCAAATCGCTCTTTTCCTGTACTCAAGGTGTTCTTTGAAGTTCTGTGTGGAGAAGGTGCCGAAAACATGAAACCGGCAGTGGCTCAGCCAGCGTGGAGCTGGAGGGAGGAGGGCAGGGGAGCAGGCTGCTCTTTGCAGGAGGCAAAGGTGTGCTGTGTCACTAACGGCTCTAGTCAATAATTTCTTTAATTACTCTTATATAGCCATAGGACAAGGGGTAATGGTTTTAAATTAAAAGAAAGGAGATTCAGACTAGATGTAAAGAAAAAATGTTTTATGCTGAGGGGGGTGAGGCACTGGAGCAGGTTGCCCAGAGGGGTGGTAGATGCCCCATCCCTGGGAACGTTCAAGGTCGGGTTGGACAGGGCTCTGAGCAACCTGGTCTAGATGAAGATGTTCCTGCTCGTGGCAGGGCGGTCGGACTAGATGACCTTTAAAGATCCCTTCCAACCCAAACCATTCTGTGGTAAAATCCAAGGCAGGACCTTTGCAGTGGTACAAGTCTAACACCTTGTCTCTTTGGGTGCAATTCATGATGTTTTCTGCTCAGTTGTGGCTCCTGTCTGTTGCCTGCCAAGGCAGAGCACAGCCACCCCACCGCAGGCTGCCTTACCCTGCTGCTTTTAGGGCAGACCTGGACGAGGGAAGGTGTCTGCTCAGTACCGCTCCCCGGGCACAGGAATGGAAGGGGCTTTTCATCTGGTGGGTTCCCCCATGTAGCGGGGTCAGGCTGAGCTCCAGTGGTGGTGAGCCTTGCCGTGGCTCTGGAGAGGACCCTCACATCTAACCCGAGGCAGGAGGAACCCAGATCTACTGCCCTGCTCGGCATATCCCCCTCCCGGGGAGGATTTCTGGGGTTTGCACAGGCGGCAGGAGCTTTGCCCAGTGCGGGAAGAGGAATTTGCTGTATCGGCCCTTAATCTTTGGAAGCGGGAGCTCTGCTCAGCACGGGGGGCTGTCTGGGCAGAGCTGCCGTAAGCCCAGCTCACGGGCAGGGTCTTCCCTGGGCTCGCTGCACAATTAATGGCAAAAATCGCTTTTATTTCTTAGTCGACCTGACGTCTTTGAAACAACTTCCCATGTCGGTGTGAAACCCCCCCAGGGGAGAAATGGTGAATGAGGAAGAGAAACTCGCCCGGAGGGGGCTGCTCGTTACGTGTCCCAGGGCTGGCTGGAGGGAAAGGCTCTCCTGGCCGAGCGCCGGGTGGGTTTCATGGCGCTTGCCCTTGGGTTTGCCTGTCCTGTGCTGCCGAGGGTGTTGTCCGAGGGGCAGTGAGAAACGTGGGTTTGCTCACCCGGTGCCAGCCCGCACAGGATCTGCGGGCTGTGAGACAGGGGCTCGGCTGGTAATGAATGGTTTCACGTGAATGCCCGTGGGGTTATTTCCACCTCTCTGCTTGAAATAATTGCTCTGCTGGCTTGGGTCGAGGTCCCCGGGGAACGAACAGGTCTGAGCTGAGTCCTGGTACTGCTCCTTGCCCCAAATGGCTTCTTTTCCCCCAAAAAGACAGCTGCTTCCCCACCCTGGTGATGGTGCATGTCATGTTTTTCATGGGCAGCACAAAATATGCACAAATACTAAACCTTGGGGGTGAGAGCGTGGGGATGAGTCTGCGCTGGGTCCCGAGGCTATGGAGGGAAGAGGGGGATGAGGCAGGCTGAAAGCTGCTCTGTAACAAGTTCTGCATCTTCCCAGGAAAATCAGTTTACATGCTCAAAACACTTCAGATGCCACGGCCCTGTGCAGAATGGTGTAGTGTGGGGGCAAAAAGTGCTGAAGAAGTTAGACATGAGGAAGAAATTCTTCCCTATGAGGGTGATGAGGCCCTGGCACAGGTTGCCCAGAGCAGCTGTGGATGCCCCATCCCTGGAAGTGTTCCAGGCCAGGTTGGATGGGGCTTTGGGCAACCTGGGCTAGTGGAGGGTGTCCCTGTCCATGGCAGGGGTTTGGAACTAGATGGGCTTTAAGGTCCCTTCCAACCCAAACCATTCTAAGTTAATGGAAATGTCTGTGTGCGAAACGAGGGCTGAATCGGTGCTGACAGTCCCCCCTGGGCTGGGGACTGGGGGGGCTCAGCTGGTCCACAGGGGGAAGTGGGGGTCTCCTCCACCCCCCAGTTTATCGACTGTGTTTGTGGTTTGCAGAGTCGGCTCCAGCTCCGTGAAATTGCTGGGGGTTTCGCTCGCTGAGTTCCTGTTCAGATTTTCCTTAGTTCCCCTTACGGCTCAGGCTGGTCATGGAACGTGCCTGGAGCGTGGCCCTGGGGCTGGGGGCTTGTGGCCCCAGTGAGGGCTGGAGCTGCAAGAAAAACACGCGTCCCCCAAACCCCCGATGCCTGCCACGGGCTGAGAGCGAGGGGAGAGCTGAAAAATGTATGGAAGGGTTTTACCTTTGTGGTTTTTTTTTTCCTATTTTCCCTTGGGGTTTTTTTTTTTTTTAAACACCTTGGAGGGTTTCTAAATGGGGCTGGGGGCTTGTGGCCCCAGTGAGGGCTGGAGCTGCAAGAAAAACCTGCGTCCCCCAAACCCCCGATGCCTGCCACGGGCTGAGAGCGAGGGGAGAGCTGAAAAATGTATGGAAGGGTTTTACCTTTGTGGTTTTTTTTTTCCTATTTTCCCTTGGGGTTTTTTTTTTTTTTAAACACCTTGGAGGGTTTCTAAATGCAGCATCATCTAAAAAGCAGCGGAGAAGTTATTTGTCTTCAAAATAGCCTCCAGGGAGAAATGCAGGTGGGGGCAGGAGCTGGGGACGTGGGTAACCTGTGGTGAGGCTGATGGACACCCCTGGGCAGGGGGTCTGTGCACCCCTGGGTGCGCCGGGGCTTTCCTGACTGGGTTGTGTGAACCCAGGGATGGGATGGGGTTCCGAGCCCCAAAGCCCTTCCCGCGATTTCCCACCTGGGAGGCCAGAGCATCGTCCCACCAGCGCCTGCTTCTCCTGCAGAAACAGCGTCTGCTGGGAGACCCTGCCCTGCTCCTTGGAAATGCTTTTAGGTTATTCCTGAGCCCCGCTCTCCCAGCACACTGCCAGGGCTGGCCAGGACGGCGGGACGGCTCTGGGACCGACCCTGGAGAAGGGATGGAGCCAGTGAAGAAACCTGCCCGAGGCTGCCCCAGCCTTACCACTCTCTGGCCCTTGGGCTGTGCGCGGGGAGGTTTGCCTGGTAACCGGTGACGCGGGCGGATTGCTTTTAATTTCACACTTGGAGTTTCACTTTTGGCTGATCCCTGGCCACGGTCGTGCTGGGTCCCGACGTGGTGCTGGGTATGGCATGCCCAGCAAGGCCAAGCCCTACGGCGCAGCGCTGGCGTCGGGAATGTGTTACGCCTGGGCTGCCCTGGGTCCTTGTAGAAAATCACCTAAAATCGGCGTTATGGGAGCGGATGGCTGCTGTCACCATGTGGCACTAGCAGGGCCGTGGGGTGGGCTATGGACCCACCTTGGGGGTTGCTTGTCCTCTCTCAGGTTTGGGGGTTCAGCCCCCTGAAGCTGCTGCAG